CGCCAAGGCCCGCGCCGCGCCGCCGGGGGCGCACCGCTCTCCCGCTGCCTCGGCGGGGCCTGAGCTGGCCGGACTGCCCAGACGCCCGCCGGGAGAGCCGCTGCAGGGCTTCTCCAAACTGGGGGGCGGCCTGCGGAGCCCCGGCGGCGGGCGGGACTGCATGGTGTGCTTCGAGAGCGAGGTGACGGCCGCCCTCGTGCCCTGCGGACACAACCTGTTCTGCATGGAGTGTGCAGTGCGCATCTGCGAGAGGACCGACCCGGAGTGTCCCGTCTGCCACATCACGGCCACGCAAGCCATCCGAATATTCTCCTAAGCCCCCTGCCCCGGCCTCCTGGCTCCCTCCCCGGGGGTGGGGGGGGCGCCCTGGATCTGTTTTCCACTGGGGCCTTTTGGAAATCAGTGATCTGAGGGCAAGGTGCTTAGAGACACTCGATCCATGGGGAGGGGGAGGGGAGGCGACGGTGGCGGGGGTGGGGGGGTGGGGGCTGGGCCACCTTCAGAGCCTCTGGTCACCCCGTCCTGGAAAGGTTGGGAGGGGGCCAGGCAGGAAATTTTACTAGAGTTACAACTCTGATACCTCAACACACCCTTCAATCTGGAAGCAGCTACGAGGAACTTTTGTTTTGCCAGAGGTGGCCCTTAAGGCATCCTGACCCCCTCGGTCCACCCCCCCATCTGCGTCCCACTACCCCTTCCTCTGTGGAGGGGATCGGGGAAAGGGAGGGGGAGAATTACCATCCCTATCTAGAGATGCTCTTTCCAACCCTCGAGCCCTCTCTGGCCCTGATCTTTGACCTCCTCACCTGACCCTTTGGACCCCCCCCCACCACCACCACCATAGCCTGGTTGGGCATCTGCTCCAGGGTTTCCAGTGGTCTAAGGGAGTTGGGGCCCTTTCAGAAGTCTGCACAGATTCCCTGGGGTTGGGGGGGTGGGGAAGCATGTCAATCCATAAAGGGCTCAGAGCTCATCTCCCCACAGAGCTGGGTGGAGGGGTCTGGAGATGGAGCTCCTCTCGGCCCCTCCGGCTGCCCCTCACCCTCTCCTCCCCATCTTCCCTCTGGTCGGGCCCTCCTCTCCCCTTTGCTCTTTCCACCAGCTCTCCTCTTTGCTTCCCCCTGATGGCTGTCACTCCCAGCTCTGTCCTCCTCTGTCTCTTTCTTCCCTTCTCCCCCTCCCTCCTGCCCCTTCTAGTCCAGCTTTGGGCTCACCGTCCCCCTGGGGAGAAGTAGGGGAGAAGAGCATTTGGATGACCCCCTCCTTAATTCCTCTTCTGGCATCTGGAGGCCCTCCCCACTCCTCCAAAGAAACACCTCGAATTTTTGATGGAATGTATCCCCATTCTCAGTGAAAATTTGAGGAGGGGACTAATACTGGAGTACATCAAGGGTCAAACCTCTGCCTCTACCATCTTTGGGCATTGTATTTAGGGAACAATTCTTGGGCTGGGTCTTCTGGCGGCAGGCGGAGGAGAGGCAGGGTAGCGTATCTGCTGTTGAAGGGGCAGGAAGGAGCCTGAGGCAGGTGGAGAGGCTGGTGGACAGGAGGCTGCCCTCCCCTGCAGCTCCCACGCCCTGTGCCCCCTCTCTGGACCTGACCCAAACCCCTATTAGCGAGCAAATCATGAAGTCTCTGTCCCAACCATTGTGGTTGAGGAGAGAGGCTGGGTTTTCAGAGAGAGCTCAGTGCTGGGTCAGGTGGGATTGGCGTGCAGCAGCGTCCGGTCCGGGATTGCTAACAGGCCTGGCACCCCTCCTCCACTGCTTCCCAAGGCTCACCTGGGGCTGCCACCAGCCTCCCACCCTCCTGGTTCCGCTGGCCGGGCCAGGAGAGGGTGGGGGATGGGGGTCCCTGGGGGTCCCGGGAGATCCTTGTATATAGTGGGGTGGGACTGTTCTGGGTGATCTCTGAGCACTTACGCTCGGGAGTCCCATTCTATCTGACGGAGAGGGGGTGCAGGGATGGGGGTACAGGGGGGATTTCCTCCTCTCCTTCCTCCTGTTGTGAATTCACTCACCTCTCCTCAGCCTACCCCTCCAGACCACCAGCCAGGGAGGGGAGAGGAAGGAGGTCACAGTCAGGAAAGTGGCCTGTGACAACTTCCCTCCTTCCCGCCAATGTGAGCCATCCTGAGATGTCTGTACAATAGAAACCAAACCAAATGGGCGCCCTCGGTCGCCTCGCCGAGGGTGGGGAGGGGGGTGGGAAGAAGGGGTGTCCGTCTGTTGATCCCCCTCCCCCTCTCCACTTCTTACCCACAAAGGCAGAAGACTGTTAGGCTAGGGGGCTCAGAAAATTCAGTCCCCCCCTTACTAACTGAGCCGAACCTAGAAACCAACGCAAAACACACATAGTGAGAGACAAAACAGAGGAGAGAAAGAGCGCGAGAGGGAGCGAGATAGGCGAACAACACAGAGGAGACAAAACAAAAATAGCAAAAAAAAAAAAAAAGCAGTTCTTTATAATTTAATATTCTATTTTAATAAAGGCGTTTATTACCGTATAAATGTAGCAAAGAACCTGGGCTAATATGAAAAAAAGACTTTTTATTAGGTAATTTATTATATGAAAAGGATATTTTATTTTATGATAAAGTGATCCTTAAAAAAAATAAAAAAACTTTAGAAGGTTTAGAATATATGTAGGGAGAGAAGAAGAAAAAAAATACATTTGTATTCAGAGTTAAATCTTAAAAAAAAAAGTGTTTTTAATATATGTTCGGGTTTACGTTCCTTTTTTCCCCCACTTTTTTTTGGGGAGGAATGTCATTTGCTTTTCGTGGGGAGCATCCTGGGATATGTGGTGGAGATGGGGGGCTGGGGGAACCTGGTCCCTCTGGGGCCCCCGCTAGTAGATTGGATTTCACTCCATGGGCCCCCTCCCCTCTCCCCTCCCCCTCCGGGGAGCCGGCAGAGCCAAACAAAGAAGGATTAACAAGAAAGGAAGACGCGCTTGGACTGAGGATCCTGGGCTGCCCCCCCCTTCCCCTGCCCTGTCCCAGGGGCGAGTGGGGAGGGGAAGTCCAGAGCTGAGGCCTAGCAGGCCTGCGGGAACCCTCAGAGAGGTGCGAGATTTAAGAGAAATAGTTTTGTTTTGTTTTGTTTTGTTTAACCAAAAATGAGAGAGAGAGAGAGAGAGAGAAGAAAAAGAAAGAAACCGAGGGGTTTAAAAGAAAAGAATACTACAAAATAATAATTATTAATAATAATAATAATTCAAATTTATTTCATATAATCCTAGAGAAAAAGAAAGAATTACTAGTTACTTAGTAGATGATATTCAGATAGCTTAAAGTTTAGTAGCATCGAGGGCCCCTGGGTCCAGTAGAATGTATAAAAGTTGTAACGAAAAGGAAAGTAGATGAGGGAAGCGGTCAAGTCCACCCTGCATGTGAGGAATCCCCCATCTCCAGATACCAGGGTGGGAGCAGGTTGCTAGATGAGGTTGGAGCTTCCAGTCTGCTGGGGTTGATTCTGAGAATCCTTGGGTTTTTAAATTGTAGGACAAACAGATAAGGGGCTCAGTCCCCAGGGTCTTTGAAAGATGGACATTGATCATTTCAACCACATGGGAGCCAGGCCAGGGCAGCGGAGAAGGTGAGCGCATTCACCTGCACCCTCCCCTGTGCCCTTGCCCCTGGGGGCCTGCCACCCAGTCCGTCCCCAGGTCTCTGCAGAGCAGTCCTTACTCCAAAGTGCTGTGTCCTCTTGGGGCTCTCAGGGAGGGTGGAGACTGCTCAGCTCAGACCCTCCCGGGCCTGCTTCTCCCAGGCCCGAGGAAGTCCTTCTTGAAGTGTAACCTCAATCCACCCCATGAGGGATTGATTCAGGAGCCTGGTAGGTCATTCTAGACACAGACACGCACACACTTCCCACGTTCTCAGAGCTTCACGAGGACTGGGGTTCAGTCCTCTGTCCTCATTCCCACCCAGTATCCCACTTAGCTTTTGGCCTCCGTGGCCCTGGTGGGATTAATAATCTCAGTCATGTCTCTTTCCTGCTGCATGTGCTCTCCAGGCTTTATTGTCTCAGAAGTTAGACTCCAAGAATGACTTCCCACCCCCTGGGGTACAGCGGAGATACTGTCCTTGAAGGCCTGGGAGAACGGCCCCTCTGGGGTGCGAAGGCAGGGGGCGGGCAGAAGGGACTTGGGGGGACGCTCCCCTAGTCCTGTGCTTCAGCTCCCCTCCAGCTCTAAGTGTTCGTGTAGGGGCCACCCAGGGTGCCCTGGCCTGGGGGCACATCACCCTCCCCACAGAAAACTGGGGAGCATGGCTTTTGCATGTGAGAAATCACCTAATGTTTTCTAGCACTTGCCTTCTACCAGCCCTAGCTCAGGGCCAGCCGCCCTCCTGTCCCGGGGAGCACGGGGAGCCTGCATCTTCACACCTGAGACTCTGGCGTGGCCCTCCCTGGCCCTAGGCCCCAAACACATCTCCCTCTCCCCAGTTTACTCTTCTCACCCCACCTAGGGAGATTCCCCCTGCTCTTTTTGTCCTAGAAACCCCGCTAGTTTGGGAAGGTAGAGTCTGGGGTGGGGAGGGCTTCCCCTTTCCCGCTGGAGGGTGCGGGTGGGGTAGGGTGGGAGGGGAGACAGCCCTGGGGCAGGGGGATGGTCTCTCCACTGTAGAAAGTAGAGTAGGATTGTGGTCAGACTTAATTTGAGGCATCTAGTGAAGACACGTACAAATCCACCAAGGAAAAATATTTCAAAAGCAAGATAAAGGCGGGAAACAAAACGGACCCATGAATAATCAAGTCAAAGTGATGTTGCACAAAATGCAGAGAAACCAAGAAGGGGGAGGGTTAATGTATTAAATGTGCTATTAAGAACTTAATTTTATTAAAAGTATTATTAATTAAGGCTCTGGCCTCTTTCTCTGCATGTGGGTCTGACCTGTGGTGGGGCGAGTGAGGAGGGGACCACCCGGGTATTGTGAGTGGTGGGGGGGAGTCTTGTGGGGGCCCTGCCCCCTTGCCGGAAACGCCGGCTCCCACCTGCTCTCCACAGCTCCGTACTTGAGTCTCCAGGCCTTCAGTCCCCTCCTTTCCTCCCCATTTACCACCTAGTCTTCCTGGGGTGGGGGTGTGGGTGCAGCCTGTCCCTCAGAGCAGGGGCCCGGCAGGCCCAGGCCCGGTGTGGGAGACCCTGCCCTGGCCAGCCAGCTCCAGGGCTGTGTGCTGGGAGACCTTCCGCACTCGTCCCACCAGATTCAGTCCGTCCCTACACCCCACACCCCCTGGGGTTCAGGCCACAAACTGGGTAGGAGGCTTCGACCTCCCACCTCCCAGGCACACACAGACAGGGCTGGCCCTGACTCCCCCTTCTCTCCGACACCTCCCCCTGCCTCCTCCCCTCACCCCTGGCATTGGAGTGACCTCAGTTCTTGGCACCAGGGCCCTAGGCACCAGATGGTGCCTGAGGGTGATTTCCTTTGTCTCTCCTTCCAGATACCCCCTCTTGGCCACGCTGTCCTCCCTCCCCCACCTGCCCTGGGGGTTGGCAGAGGGAAGCCTGGGCCCCTCCCTCCCCCTTGGCACTGTCCCCAGACCACAGGACTCCAGAGGCAGCTGGCCCTGGGGGACAGTGGGTATGGTGGGGAGGATGGGGGGCGGGGAGGGGAACACCAGCTCAGAGGGGCCAGAGGTGAAGGGGAGGCACGGATGGCAGGCAGCAGGCTGGCCTGCCATTGGTACAAAACACAGCTTTATTTGAAGGCCAAATCTGTGTGGCTGGGGTGGGGGGACGACAGGTAATAGAGAAATGGGCGGGGGGATCGGGGAGATCTTGGAGCTCCATGGGACCACTCTGACATCTGGAACCACAGGACAGGCAGAGGTCCTGGAGCTGGGGTGGGAGTGGGGCACCAAAAAGCCAGTGGGGGCAGGGCGGGCGCTAGCCAGGGTCAGAGGCTGATGCAACAGGCCCTCTTCTTGCCAGGGCCCGGCTCCTGCCCAGCCTGGGCACTGCCCAGAGTGATGGCGTTGGTCCGGCTACTGTTCTGCCTCTGCTTGGACACTTTGCTGAAGATCTCTGAGGGGAACGGAGGGCAGTGACGGGGTCAGAGGACCGAGAGCCCACGCCACCTACACACAAGGCGCGGACTCACCGAGCATGGGTGTGACCACACTTCAAGGAGACTTTGCTGGGAGGAAGTGGAGTTTGGGCATCTGCGTCCCTTCTACTTACCTGGGTGGAGAAGGGCTAACGCTTAGCTACCTGGGAAGTGTGACCTTCTGGTTCCTTCCCAAGCCTCAGTCTCGGAGTGGGGAGGGGGCACTGGGGAGGCTCTGAGGAGGCTGGGGGCCCACACAGGGGCCAAGGAATCATCTGGGGTAGGCAAGGGCTGGCTGTCTGCATTCCTACCCCCACAAGAGCCTCAGGGATGGAATGGGGCTGCCCAGATGGAGGCAGGGGCTCTAACCTTTGAGGACAGTCTCGAAGGCCAGCTCGACATTGGTGGAATCCAGGGCTGAGGTCTCCAGGAATAGCAGCCCATTGTTTTCTGGCAGGAAGGGAAACACAATAATATTTACCTAATGTTTACCGTGTACATTTGCAATGTGCTAACCCCTTGGCACGTATAGCTCATTTCATGCCTGAAACCACCTGTGAGGTAGATTTGACTATGATCCCTTTTTCGCCCAGGAGGAAGCTGAAGCCCAGCAGCACAGAGAGACCGAACAAGGGACTGGCCAGGGGGTGTGAGGCCCTGGGACAACAGAGCCCATACCCATAACCACTGCATCTTGCTGCCTCTGACCCCAGAGGCCTCCTGGGGGAGCATGACCAGAGAAGGTCAGGGGGGCACACCTGCCGCACCCCAGATCTCTGAGCATCACGGAATGGCCTGCCTTAAAGGCAACGACAAATAATTGGCCAAAAAGACAATCTTAGGGCAAGTGGTGGGACATGATGAGGGACACAGGGTGACAAAAGGAGGGCTGGGAGACTCCGAGGAAGAAGCGATGCAGGTCGGGGTCCCCATGGAGGAGGTCCAGGCTGGGGCCCCAGGGCAGGAGCTGGGGCTGGGGCGGCGGGAGCTGGAGCGCCCAGGGCAGGCTGGAGGGGCCGGACGGGGTGGTGGTGGGCTCTCACCGGCAAACATTCGGGCCTCTTCAGTGGGTACCTCCCGGGCCTGCTGGAGGTCACTCTTGTTGCCCACGAGCATGACCACGATCGTGGCCTCGGCGTGGTCATAGAGCTCCTTCAGCCAGCGCTCCACCACGGCATAGGTCTGGTGCTTAGTTAGGTCAAACACCAGCAGGGCCCCCACCGCACCACGATAGTACCTGGGTGGGGGGTTGGGGGGGCGACAGAGGCAAGGTCAGAGGTGAGTACCGGAGATGGAGAAACATGAAGCTCAGGTCCAGGGGCCCACATCTGGCCAGGGCAACTCCAGGCTCTGGGCCTGAAGTTGAGCCCTCCGGGGCTACTGGTACAGCTGGGGGGTAGGGGGGGTGCAGGGGGGGCGTCCAAAGCAGCCCCACCTTCTCTGAAACCACTGGCTCCTCCCGCCTTCCTAGCCACGGCTTCCTTGGGTCTTTTGTTCTGATATTAGCCCTTGCTGTCCACCCATGTGCACCTGGGCCCCGGTCAACTCGGCCTCCGGGATGCCCACCTTCCATGGCATGTTCCTCACGTGGCTCCTGGGCCATGGTGCCCTCTTCTGTCCCATGGTCATGTCTTGCTAGGACCAGCTAAATGCCCACCCCACGCAGCAGTCCCCGAGCTGACCCTCTGAGGCCATCCCTGCAAGCACCCAGCCTCGCTCCTGGCAGTAGGTGGGGCTTCTTCACACTGTGCTGTCTGATTCCTCCCATTCTATCGATGTGTCAGCCGAGGCTCGTAAGAGCTCCGGTGAACAGTCCAAGAGTGCTGAGAGTGTGTGTGACTGAGCCCTGAACTCCTGCTTGCCGCCCCTCGGCAGCTGCCGTCCCCCGTCACACCCGCAGACCACCTTCCTCACATCTGGCCCGCCGCTGACTGGGTTTGGCGTGGCCTCGGCCTCCTCTGAGTAAGATGCGGCTCGGGGGCCAGCCCTTCAGGTGTGTGGTGAAATGGCAAAGGATACCAAGTGCAAAGCAGAAGTGGGGCCACTCTCGATCCCACAGCCTCCCCCATCCTGGGTCCCCCTGGCATCACCTCCTTGAGCCTCGGGTGCTTGTATTAAGCAGGAATTAATTATAACATCTTAGTCCTACGGTACTTTGAGGATTACACCACATGCTCGACGGAAAGTGCCTCATACCCCCCGGACACGTAGCAAAGGCTTGGGAAGTGGTCCTGCAGCTGCTGCTTGTCCCCCTAGCAGCTGGTACTACCACATCTGGCCTCAGGCCATGGGGCTCACAGCCCCTGGGGCTCACCGGGCCACGGAGTCCTGGGCTCCACCCAGGGAGCACACGGCCCAGCGGCCTCTCCTCCGGAGGCACTCCCCAGCTTCCCCAGTGCCCCCCGGCCCCGGGCTCACGCGGAGGTGATGGCTCGGTACCGCTCCAGGCCAGCCGTGTCCCAGATCTGAGCCTTGACAGCGGCCGTGCCCAGCATGACCGTGCGGGTGGAGAACTCAACCCCGATGGTGGTGCGGCTGTCGTGGCTGAACTCGTTCCGCGTGAACCGGGACAGCAGATTGGTCTTCCCCACGCCTGACTCGCCGATCAGCACCACTGCAGGAGAGGAGAGATGGGGCTGAGCTGGGGGGGCGGGGGGCACCCATCGGGAGCAGGAGCTGAGCCCAGGAAACTGAGGGAGGAGCCCGGCCTCCTGGCAGAGGCTTCCAGACTGCCCAGGTGAGGGGCCAAGAGTTGGGGCTGCAGGCCTAACAGCGTTCTTGGTCTGGGCAGCCTGCACTTGGGATGGGGCGCCATCCGCGGGCTGTTTACGGTGTCAGGGTTGAGGGCTACGAGGTTGGCAGGGTGTGTGGATGTGGACGGGGTGTAGGTCTGGGGAGGGCACATGTTTCTGGACCAGGCCACGTGACAGCATTGTGCCTGTCTGGACGAGGAGGCTCGGTGTGCGTGCACGCGTGCGTGTGTATGTGCATGCATGCATGTGTGTCTGCATGCATGTGTGCGTGTGTGTATGTGCATGCGTGTGTGCGCGTGCGTGTGTATGTGTGCACGCATGCATGCAGGCAGGAAGCCGCCACGCGAACACAAATGCAGGGAGAACATTTGGCAAGTGACGCATCTGGGGAGGGGGGAAAGTTCAGGGGGGTAAGAAGTTAGGATCCAGCTGTCCCCAAGGAGGGACAGTTAACACGGGGCTGAGTGTTGGACAGGCCTACCCTGACATGCGTTTTCACATGAAATATGGGAGTAACAATACTATTTTTTGGATTGTTGCAAGAAGTAAACGAGATATCACCCAGGCTGATAGTTGTTGGCAGGTCAGTTCTTTCATGGCCAGGTTTCCAGGACTGGGATCTATGGGGGGTGGGGGGCGTGAAGAGCCTCTGGGCTGGTGCGCAGCATCCAGGGCCCAGCTTTACCCACCACAGGTGAGTAGGGAGGGGGGGGCTGATGCAAGGACGACCCACAAATTGCACAACCCTGAGCGAACACCCAGGATTACAGGAGGACCCCTAGGCTGGCGCCCTGGGAGCCACATATTCTGGGCGCTGGTCCCCACTTGGCCTCTCACTCGGCTAGTGACCTTGAACAAGCAGCTTAGCTTTTCTAGGTTTCAGTTTTCTTGTTATAAAATCTATAAAGCCCCCTGGAAGGTGTGCAGGGAAGGAAGGAGCTGGGAGCAGTGTGGGCGTGGGTGTGTGTGTATTCCTGCCTCCCCCCTGCCGAGACCCTCATCCCGGCTCACCGCTGCCAGTGGCTGGGCCCCTAGCCCTGCCTTCACGCCCAGAAGGTGCTCAGGGCAAGGGCTTTGGAGGCCCAGAGACTTGGGCTTGAGTACTGACTTTGTGACCATTTGTCAGTCTGTAAAACGGAGACACTAGGTGTCAACAGTGGTTGAGCACCTACTACGTGCCAGGCACCGTCCTGAAAGCCTTCCACGTATTGACTCTGACCCCCACCACAGCGCCAGGAGGCAAGTACCACGATCACCACCATCCCATTTTTAGAGGCGAGAAAAACAGACACTTGGTGGAGAAGCGGCTGGTACCAGACAGCATGGCTGGCTTCGCAAACACAGAGGTGTGCCACCCTGATCCGCCTTCGAGGAAGGACGAGCCCCCAGCTCCCCGCTCCCTCAGCTCGCCCTGCCTCTCCGGGGCTGCCCGCAGCTGGGGCCGACGCGAGGTGAGGACAGGACAGCACCCGCCGCCCTTTGCCAAGGCTCTGTGACCCTGTGATGCAGTTTGGCTTCTCCCTGTGTCTCCTCTCCCTTCCTTCCGCCAGAATAGACACCTTATACCCCAAACTTCTCAGCGTCTGCTTCTGGAGACCCCAACCTGCACGAACTGGTAATCGAGAGAGCTGAGATCTGGCTCCTGACCACTACGCTTGCAAAAGGAGACATGCGTTTTGGGGTCATTATGGAGACTCACGAGCTCGGGGCTGGCACAAAGAAGGGCTTGGGCAAGGGCAGCTACTAGTAACAGGGCCGCCCCAGCCTCCCCTTCCTGGACAGAGGCCCAGAGTACTGGTTCCACAACCGGAGTGGCCTGAGTCCCAGCCCCAGTGAGGGCGGGGCTTAGGCGGGGAGAGGCAGTGGGGAGGGGTGGCTGCACTGGGAATCACAGCTCTGCAGTCCACCCTGCCCTGAAGGAGACGTGGAGGTGGGGGTGCACGGGGGCTGGGGTCTACAGGGGTCCCATGCAGGGGCTGAGGGCAAGGAGCAGGAAAGATGTATGCATACTTCCAGGAGCAGCCAAGCCAACCCTGTGACTGGTATGTGGGCCCAAAGGGGCTGCCAAGGGACAGCAGACAAGGCCCCAGCCCTCAGAGTCTTCCAGGTTCTATAAGACCCTGCTCTCGATCTATTACATCTTCCCTGTCTTCACCCCGAAATGGACAGAGCTCTCCTTTCTCTTCTTTCCTGCACATCCACCCAGAAACAGGGCTTTTTCCTCTCAAGGTTATTCCCTCTCTTCTCAGGAGGGAAGTCCTCTCTGAAGTCTTACCTCCATCTCTCGCACTGCGCGCTTGACAATTCCTAGGGATGTGGGCTTCCTTTGCAAATGGAGCAGAGGGGTCTAACTTGGGCCCCACCGGGGAGTGATCAACATCATTATCTGCAGGAGTAGAGCACTCCAGCAGCTCCAGAACTTTTGCCCCAGTAACCAGACCCTCCCCCACTCCCTGCAGCTTGCTTTCTTCTCCAAGGGAATGATGGACCCGGGGACAGTCCTGGTAACAGGTAAAAAGACAGGAGGGGTGCCCTCTGGCTCTGACGGTCTCTCTCTTTATGGACCCCAACTCACCCTTGAAGACAAAGTTATAATCTTCCTCGGCTCTGTTCCCCATCCTGGCTCCGCATGGAGGGTACGAGTGGCTTCAGGGACGGAGGTGACAGGTGTACGCGTTGGCTCAGTACCCTCTACTCTCAGCTCTCCAGACCTGGATCCGCCGCTCCTCTCATTGGGGGTAAAGAAACTTCTGCAGGCAGAGGGCTTGAGGGCCCACTTGAGGTTAGGCAGGGCCTGGGAGGCTCAGCTCTAGCTGGTGGGGGTGCTGCAAGGAAGCCAAGAGGACGGAAGCTGAGAACAGGAAGAGCAGGTGGTGGAGACCTGGGGCCCAGGTGGGTGGAGAGATGATGACGTCAGACAGGTTAGGCAGGTTGAGTGTCTGCTCTCAGCCGGTGCTCCCGCGGGGCGGGCGGGCAGGCTGGTGGGGGGGGGACACGGGGGGGGGGGTGGAGCTGGGACAGGCACAGGACCTTCAGAGAGCCAGCTGAGGACTGAGTGCACGGTGCTAGGGCTCCTGGGACCAGGAACCTACCTGGGCAGCCACCAGTGAGTGAGAAATAGCCTCTCAGGGAGCAGAAACCTGCTTGGCCTCCTGCTTTTCCTTCAGAGGCTCTGGTGGGGGGTGATTGGGGGCACCAGGGGAAGGGCTGCTGGGGCGAGGGGCTGGGGCTGATGGGTGCCCATCACCTTGCTGCAGTGCAGAATTCTGGGAGCGGTGTTGTGGACACAGAAACGTCTGCCCCTCCCGACAGCCCAGGGCCTGGGATGGGCGGTGTTCCTCACCCTGGGTGGAGCTGAAACTCGCCGCCTACCTCTCTCTCCCCTGGGATGGTCCCTTCCTTGGGCACTGGGCTAGGGGCTGGTAGTTCCCTGTCCACACCTGCTCTAAGGACCCAGGGTAAGCAGAGAGATGGGTGGGGGAGGAGTTTGAGCGCAGGGCAGAATCTGGAGATGCCTCTGAGGCCCTCTGACACCCCCTCCCTGGGATCGGTGGTCTCACGGTAAAGCCATACCGCCTGCAAAGCGCTTCAAGATCCGGAGGGTGTGAGCGTGGGGTGGCCCTGGTAGGTGGCTAGTGCGCACTCTTCCAACCCCAAGGGCAGAAAAGGCACCCCCCCAAAGTTGGGACTGAACGACACTGGCCTTGCAGGGCCCTATATTCTTGCTGTCCAACAGGACCCCCAGCAGCACCCCCAGCAGCCTGCTGCTTCTCTGAGGTCGCTCCCAAACGTGTGCCCATCAGGTGGCTGAACCGTTCAGAGGGGCAGGGCCGAGATGGTCATGTTGCTGAGGCGCCCCAGCTGTCAGAGGGCAAGGGGAGAGGTGGGCCCTCAGGAGTCTCTCCTGAGCAGTCCTCACTCTGTTCCACCTCCTTCGGCTCCTCCCATTCAAGAAATCAGTCATCACGCAAGATAGGAGTTCAAGTTTATTCTTGGAAAAAACAAAGTCTCACCTTCCCCCCACCACCTGGAAAGGCTTCCCCAGGGGGCCCTGCCCCTCCAAATGGTCATTTATCTTTTTTGACCCCAGCTTCAGCCAAGGCTCATTATGAGGCAGCTACTTGGGTAAGGGGTTCCTCCAGGTACTGCACCAAGGCCTGGGCCTGCAAGAGGGGAGGAGAAATCAGGCCCACACAGGATCTGCCACTAGAGGGATCCCCAATCCAGGCCGGACGCCCGCTGCTGAGCACCCAGCCCCCACCCACTCCTGGGAGTCGGCTCACCGCAGACTCCAAGAAGGTGGTGGGGTAGGAGTGGACAGTGAAGAGCACAAAGGCTGGGCCCACAGTCAGAGGAACGGGTACATACACACCTTGGCCTTGAGCATTCCGAAGCCCACCGTCTCCTTGGCGTACATACACAGCAGAAGGTTGGCCACCCGGGTGATGGCAACACGGCCCTCCTGGTGGGGGGTGATATCGTGGGATGTAGTGTTCCGCTTGGCACCCTTAGCCCTCTCTTTCCCCAAGGGCTCCTCTTCAGGGAGACTATCATCTTCTTCCTTCCATGCCCTGGGCATGGCAGGGGCTTCAGACGAGGGGCTCTGGCCACAGCCCTGGACGTGGGGTCCTGAGCTCAGATTCCAGGGTCAGCACAGCCCCCTGCTAACCAACCTCCCCCGGGAAACTCAACCTCGCAGAAACTTGGTTTCTCTGTGACCCCTGCCTCATCCCAGTTGGTGAGGATGCCAGTACACAGGACGGAGTTTTGAAACTGCAGAGGGCCGTCCAAATGGGTGATATTATTATTACGGGTTCACCCCAAAGACCCTCTAAGGAGTGTGGGAGCAATTAACCTAATGCATAATTCTCTTTTCCCATGGTAAAGTTTTTCAAATTGCAGTTCTGACTCTAGGGTTCCATCAATTGAGGAGGTGGGTCAGTATGAAAAAGAAGAGAAACGGAGTGCACTGCATGTTTGTTTTAGTTGGGGGGGGGTGTGGGCTCTGACTTAACAGCTATTTCTTTGGCTGGGGTGTGGACAAGACGTTGGAAAGCTAGTGCCCTACAGCACCCACTCTAGGTTAGGCACCCAGCAGGAGTCATCAACTGAACTGAAATGGCATCCCTGGTTGGGCATGGGATGAGGATGATGTAGGCAGCCCCGTTACAGTGGAAATCCTCTGGGAAAAGTTCACACTTGGGCCTTTTCAGTTTGGTTCAGCGAACTTTCATTGGGCATTTGCTGTGTGCTGGGAGCCAGGTGCTGCACTCCCTCCCTCTCTGGCCTCACCTCCTACTCATCTCCCCTATTCCCATGCTGCTCCAACTACATCAGCCTCAGGGCCTTTGCACTTGCTGTTCTGCCAGAAATGCTCTTCCCCTAGACGGCCATATGGCTGGCCAACTTCCTTCAGATCTTTAATGAAATGTCACCTTTTCAGTGAGACTGTCCCTGATATGTGCTCCACCTCACTTCCGTTTCGCATAACATTTTCAATATCTCACATCCTAGTGTTTTGACTTACATATATATTTTACAGCACACATAAAACCATAAGCTTCTGTGAGAAGTTAAGGCGGCAGTTTTGGTCCTGTTTGCTAGTTTTTCCCTAATCCTTGAGAACACTGCACAGACCTAAACATGTGTTGGCCGAACAAATACAAAGGTGAGTGAGACCCTTTCTGTTTCCCGGAAATTCACAGTCTAACGGCTACTTCCCCTTTCTGGGCTGCAGCTCCCTCTTCTGCAAACTGAAGGGACGGGCCGAGGATCTGGAGACTCCGCTGTGCTTCTGTGAGCCTGTGACCCGGGGTGACAACACTGTACAGTTTACATCCTTCCGTGTGATCTTCATGACAAGCCTGTGTGCGTGCACTCCTGTTGGGCGGTATTACTGTTCCCACGCTGGAGATGCGGTCAGGAAGTTCAGAGAGCTCAAGTGACTTACCTAGGACTCCACGAATGACAAGTGGCCAGCTGAGGCCAGAAGCCCAGGCAGACACTGGGTCCCCAGCCCCCTCCTCATCACCACTTGCTGCATAGGGCCCTGCCTACCACAATGCTGCAGCAGACCGACTCTTGGTAGCCCGCAGAGATCCTGTCCCTGCCCCTCCAACCATCCAGAGTGGGGTCCAGGAAGCCCCATGGGGATCCCCTTGGGGGACAGAGGGAGTGGCTCCCCTCTCCATACCATGCAGTCCATGAGGATGAATTTGAGATTGTCTTCGTTAAACGCTTGGTTCCCGTTGCGGTCGTAGGCGGCCCAGATGTTGCTGGCGATAGCCGCGGTGACCCGGGCGTCCGTGTCCCCGTAACCGGAGTAGGCCAGCAGAGAGCCCTCGTTATTCAGCAGCCTGGCGAGCGGCGGTAGGAGACAGGGACGTGCTGGGGGCGGCGAGAAAACGCCGGGGCGCTTCCAGAAAGCAGGGGTCTGGGCAGAGCGCGGCCCTTCCCGCCGGCCGCGGCCCCTCTGCCCTCCTCCCTCCCCGAGACCCTTCCCCAGCGCGCCACGGGCTCGCCTCCTCGGCCGCACTCACAGCGTGCTCTGGACACCTCCGGTGTTAGCCTGGCTCAGCACCTGGGTCAAAGCCTTGGGACGCAGCATGCCTGCGGCTCCCGGGCCCGGGCTTCCGCGCCAGGCCCCGAGCTGCCTCCCGCGGCCTCCGCGGGCACCTTCCCGAGCTCCCCGCCGCTCCGGAACTCCGCGCGACCCGGAGGTCCCGGCGCTCTGGGGGGGCGACGCAACACCGCCCCGCCGCGCGGGGCGCCGGGAGTTGTAGTTCCGCGTGGCCTCGCGGCGCACCCTGGGAACTGTAGTTCGCCTTTCCCGGGGAACCACGTGGTCGTTGGGGGGTTAAAGAGCGGGAGCGAAAGGATAGGGGCAGGACTGGAAGGGCGTTTAACAACCCACTCCCCTCCCCGCCACCTCGGGGAGAGAAGAGTGAGTATGCCCGCCTGACAGTCCACGACCAGAAACTGAAAAAAGAAATCCCGGTATTTGTCAGGCACACGTTTGGTTACTTTTCAGAGCAGTTCCCTACGTTAGGCACGACCCTGTGACAGGAGACCAAGGCTCAGAAAGGCCTCTGGAGCCGTACTTAGTAGACTCCGAGCAGGCCACGACCTCCGGGGGCATAGTCAGTCCTAGAGGTGAGACCTTGGGTGGACGTCCAGACGTGGGGGGGTCAGCCTCCGAGTCGGGAGAGGCCCGGGAACCAGGACAAGGCGGCGGCGACAGGGGCGCGGCGTTCTGTCCCGGAGCGGGAGTCACCGCGGAGGCGGCGGGCCAGGACCGGCGGCGGGCCGTCTCGGGGAGCCCGCCCCGCCCCGGCTGCAGTGCCCCCCCCAGGCCGCCCGGGGCGCTGTGGGCGCAGTTGGTCCGGGGGGCGGCGCGGCCGCGGGGAGGGGAGGGGAGGGGAGGGCAGGGCAGGGGAGGGCGGAGGGGCGGAGGCCGGAGCAGAGCCGGCCGGGCGGGCGGCCGGGCGGGGGGGAGGAGGAGGAGCCGGGGCGGGCTGGCGGGCGGCCGGGTGGCGGCGGCGGCATGGCGGAGCCGAGCGCGGCCGAGGCCAGGCCCCCCATTCGGGTCACCGTCAAGACCCCCAAGGACAAGGAGGAAATTGTGATCTGCGACCGAGCCTCCGTCAAGGAGGTAGTACGAGCGGCGGGGGTGGCGGAGGAGGGGTCTGCGGAGAGAGGGGTGGCTCCGAGGCGGTGGGGCGGCGGGCGGGGAGGGTGGGGGCCCCGCGGGATCTCGGAGGGGAGGGAGGGGAGGAGCGGGGCGGGGGGCGTCCTGCGAGGGGCTCCGGCCGGCGCGGCGCGTGCGGCGGACTCGAGGCCGGGGCTCGCCGTGTGGCCTGGGTTGGGGGCGTGGCGGAGAGCTGGGAGGGGGCACCTTGCACCGGGGAGGGGAAGGACTCGGGGTCTGAGGGCGGCGTGCGCCCCGAGGACTGGTCGGGGATTCGAGGGGCCGCGGCCCGGCGGCCTCCGGCCTCGGTGCTGCGCCAGGGGAGCGGGCGGGGGGCGCCCCCGAGTGCTGGGGCGCGGGGCGCTGGACGAGCGTTTCCCTCGGCCCGTATCCGTCCTACCTTTTCAAATCGAGGCGGTTACAGTGGGCCCTCGGCCCCTCCGGGACTTACGGTGTGCAGTAGGTGCTCAATAAAAGTGTGTTGGACGAGTGAATGAGGGAGCACTGCCTGTGTTCGGCGCCCCCCCCCCCCCCCCGTGGCAGCTCCAGAATTTCTCATAGGCGGGGCGGGGCTTAAGATAGGCCATCTGGTGGGAAGGAGGAGATCTGGAAGCTGCCTTGGCTTAGCAAGTGCACTCTTTACTGAGAGTGTCCTGTTTTGGTTTGTTTGGGTTTGCGGGGAGAGCTGATGGATTTGGGGAGTCTGAATCTCCCCAAGCCAGTCTTTAGTGCATTCATGCCCCCCCTCCCCCCATACAAAATGACTGCATTCCAGAACTTACATCCTCTGCCCTGCAGAGCTCAATCTGAAACCAGCTTTGGCTGAGAGGCCGTGTGTTGGGTCAAGAACTGGGGCTTTGGTGTCGAGACCTGAATTCCAGTCCGCCCAGGGCAAGTCACGTAACTGCTCTGATCCTCAGTTTTCTCATCCTGAAAGTGGAGATGATAATTCATATCTATCTCACGGGACTGAGACTCTTAACTCCTGAGTAGTTGCTGCTGTTAGAGATATTTTGGAGTCTGTGTGTTGTCGTTGTTACGAAAAGGCTGGAAGGCAGAGAAACCTGGAGTCTAGAACCGAAGGCTGAAGAGAGACAGGCCTGGGTCCAAGGCTGCTGAAGGAGTTGGGACAGAGAGAGCCACAGGCAGCGCCCT